TATCAAATGGAGGTTGGCGGAATAGTGGTTGAAGCCTTGCAATTCAAGTTTAAGATCCAAGTTCAAGCTTCATCCGCAAGTGTACAAAGTAAAGCTTATTGAAGATCAAGATTGCTTGGGTAACATTTAGTTTAGGTGTTATATTATGTGTGTTGGTACTTTAAGCTCAATATAATATGCACACATATTTTATTGGTTTCTTTGTATATATATTTAGTTATATATATACATAAGTTAAGTTTTGGTTTCTATGTATATTTAGTTTTGAGTTTTTAAGTTTTACTATGAAACAATTGAATACAATTGAAAATACATTTCTTGTTTCATACTTATATGCATATATATGATTTCATCAATATCAATTTTATTTAGTTCAATGAAATCATGTTTTAGTGCATTATATGTGTATTTTGATAAAATACTATATTTGTTATTTGTAGACTTCATAACAATAGTTTACATCTTTCTTCAAGTCTATAAAATTATTTTGTATTGTTTCAAAACATGGTTAAGCTAAAACGTCAAAATTCATATGTTCACATTTTCATGTTTTGGACTATTTTGTAAAATGATGATATTTTTTATTTGGGTGGTCCTTTTTAAAAACCAGTTTTTGTAGCATGTGTATTATCATGTCTACAATCATTTTCCAAAGTTTTATATTTTTTAGAATTTGTTTGATATTTTTAAACAGAGTTTTAAAATCAAAAAAACAACTTTCAACCTGTAATTTCTTTGTGTCAGTTTGCGGTCGACCGCCACGGTCGACCGTGCCTTTGTTTTTAACTTGCGAAGCTAACAGTAACTTTCACGATCGACTGCCACGGTCGACCGTCAGCTCGAAAATTCCCACGGTCGATCGCCACGGTCGACCGTCAAAGTTTCTGGAAATTTCTCAGGCTCGAAAGTGGCCGCGGTCGACCGCCGATCTGTCATTCAAATTCCAACGGCTAGTTTTCAGAGCCGTTTTTGGGTTGGTTTTTTGGTCTTTCCTTGGCTTTCTCTTGGCTTTGGGGCTTCATATAAATACCCCCTTATACCTCAGTTCTTGGTAACCATTTTAGAGAGGGTTTTAAACAAGTTTAAGAGGGTTTTAAATTTTGTTTTAAGTTTGGGATTTTTGTTTACAAAGGAGGAACCTTACGTTGCAAATTGAGGGATTCATTCTCAATCTTCTTCATCCTCTCCTTTGTGTTTATAGAGAAGTTGCAAATTGAGGGATTCATTCTCAATCTTCTTCATCCTCTCCTTTGTGTTTATAGAGAAGTTTTTCTAACTCTTTTCTCTAGCTTCTTCATCCTCTCCTTTGTGTTTATAGAGAAGTTTTTCTAACTCTTTTCTCTAGCAATTCTATTATTGTTTTTCATATTTTTATTATTGCTAGTTTGCTATTTGAGTTAGATTTTATTTCACTCATTGTTTACACACACCTACATGAGCTTATCGTATTTTCATACATAGTATATTTGGGTTGGTGAGAGTTGTAATAATTGAGTGTGAGCTTTCATTGTGTTCTCATCTATATTAGAGAACAAAAAATTGTTGTAATTATGCTTTATTGAGAGGATCACTTTGTAATACACTTGTACACCGAGAGGAGTGTGTGGTGAGAGTCGGGGTCGTCCCAAGAGGAGTGGCGTCGGTTGACGAACCTAGGGAGATGTTGTATGCGAGCACTTGAGGGAGACACGTCTAGGTCCAACACTTGAGAGGGTGTAGAGTGGGATTACAAGAGTGTTGATTGTAAAGTTTTTGGTTAGCTAGAAAACCGAGTGTGAGGTGTAAACGTTATTCGGGTGAACGTAGAAAACCCGGTTGTGATAGTGAAGATCTCCTCGAGGTGAGGAGCGGAGACGTAGGTCGTGGGAACCGAACTCCGTAATCATATCGTTTGTTTGAGATTGCATTGGCGCACTTATTTTTCATGTTCATATCTTATATCGTCATTGTTTATTGCTCATTGTTTATTTAACTCACTATCTAGTTTAGTTTGTTTACCCTTGTGTGATTTGTATATCCTTGCATATATCTGTTTATTTAACTCACTATCTAGTTTAGTTTGTTTACCCTTGTGTGATTTGTATATCCTTGCATATATCTTATAGTATATCTTATTACTCCGATATATCCCTTTGTTCATATTGCATATTCTTGCTCATAATTAGTTGTATATCTATCTTGCAAGAATATATTTGTTAATTAGTTTTAATTGGCATAAAATCGGATTAGATTAGCATAAGACCCTAATCACCCCTCTCTAGGGTCTAACAACGCCTGGGGTAGGGTGTTCGAGGTTGAAGTTGTCTCTTGGCTTGTAGCGAGGAGTGTCAAGAAGTAACGCCTTTCGAGTCGACCTCGCGAGGTGTCGAATAACTGGTCGAGTAGGCTCGTAGCGTGTCATCTTTGACAAGAGGACCGACAAGTACCGCCCTTCGAGTCGACTTAAGGAGATGTCAACTCTGCGAGTTGGCTAAGTCGGGACCTTGGCGGGTCCTGATCGTCAAATCGACTTGAGCGGTGCATATAGGGGGACATCTGTCCGTTACTGGTAAATGACCATATTTTGTTGACTGAAAACACCATAACATCCCTCTAGATAGCTACCATTTGATTTGGATCTATCTTCCTCCGAAGTTATGTTTTTCGCATTTGAATGACAGGTTATATCTTTACGTCAAAATGCAAATCCAAATTCATACCCATTTCAATTGATCCCATTTAGACCTTGTTCAAAACTCATACCCCAATAAAACACCTCACTTCTAGCAATCGGTTGACCTTACTAACGCGTTTTAGGGGTTAAACAGTAAATAACTATCCATGATTAACTGCTAATCTAATCAAGGTTAGCACATTGGATGAAAATTATAACGAGGGTGTGATTTGAAATACCTAATAAGATTTAGAGGATGTAATAATAATTTCAATGATTTAAGGAGCTAATGTCAAAATATTCTAGATTTAAGGGAATAATATGGAGAGAAACATTACTAACTTTTTTTATCAATACTTACTAATTAATCTCCAATTCTTCAACTTAAACCCAACGCCAAGGTAATTTCGGCAAGTCCTCTTCTGCCTTTTGAAGGTTCACATCATAGAAGAATAAAAAATAGGCAAAGCTTGGCAAGGACAATTTTTGCACTTTTTCCTTACAACATCAGTCACTTTTCTTTACTTTAGAAGTTGCAACTCGTTATAAAAAACAAAAGAAAGTTTATTAAATTTACATTAATATAATTAATGTTCCAAGGGAAAATTGCTTCTAGATCCCAAATTTGAACTTTCAATGTGCCACAACCCCTCTTATTTTTTTTAATGTGCTTTAGCCCCCTTTTTTTGAAAAAAAATATGCCCAAGACCCCTCCATCATGATTCCAGCTCATGCCAGAGTTGATTAGACATGTCAGCTCATGATTAGATATGTCAGCTGACTTGAATCCTAAATTTACCATCATCTTTCTCATGCCAGCGGATGTTAACTCTTGTAGCTAACATGTTAACTCTTACAGCTAACATGTTAACTCTTACTAATGTGCCCACACAAAGTTCCTCGTGACGACGTCGGCGACAGAGCGAGGGAGGGGACAGAGGGGGACCAGAGGAGGAGCAAGGAGGTGGAGAGGGGGAGGGAGGCGGGGGAGGGGAGAGGGAGACGGAGAGGGAGGTGGGAGGAAAGGTGGAGGGAGGGGGAGGCCAGGGAGGGAGGGAGGAGGCAGAGGGGAGGTGCAAGGAGCGGGGGAGTGAGGCAGGGGGAGGCGGGGGAGGAGGCCAGAAGGGAGGTGTTAGGGGAGGGAGGGCCGAGGGAAGGGGAGGGAGCGCGAGCGGGGAGGGGGTGCGACGACGCTCTGGAAGACGCTGGCTGCCGGAGGCGGTGGAGGGGGGAGGCGATGCGTGTGGAGGGGAGGGAGGCGGCGTGTGGGAAGGGGAGGAGGTTGGAGGAGGGGGAGGAGAGGAAGGCGGCGCGGGGGAGGGAGGCGGCGTGGGGGAAGGGGCAAAGGGGGACCGGCAAAGGAGGAGGAGGAGGAGGGAGGTGAAGGGAGGGCAAAATTGGGTTTTTGGACATGAAGAGGCCTGGACGTAATTTTTTTAAAAAGGAGGGGCTGCAACATATTAGGGAAAGTAAGGGGGGCTGGGCACAATAGAAGTTGGGTTTTGGGGTCTTGAAGCAATTTTCCCATGTCCCAATCATTCTTTTCCTGTTTATTTTTTTAATTAAGAAACAGGTAGCTTTACCGGATTTTGGGGTATTTCACTAAACCCCCACTAAATTTGGTCACTTGAACTAAATCTATAATAACTTGGGGAATTTCAGACGTACTGAACCCCAATAAAGATGTCAACTCATACTTTGAGTTCCCAAACAGTCTTATATGAAAAATCATAAACTACTAATTGGGGATTAAGTACGGAAAGAAAAATCAACACACATTAATGCTTTTTTAAAGTTTCCAATATCATCATAAGGAGTTTAGAGAAAGTTTCAAATTTTTTGTAGGTTAGGTTCAGTACACCTAAAGGATTGGGGGTTTTTAGTGAAATTTATCCTTTTTTTTTGTGTGTTAAAACTGGTAAAGAGATTCATATATCCAGCTTTTGTGCAGTGACTCTCATTCCACGCACTAGCACTGATTAAGGATTGGTAGGAAATATGACCGGGATTTCTATCGGTACAACTCTTGGTGATCCTGCACCACGAACATAATAGCTAAAATTTCTAAGGATAAAATTATCATTTCTACTTAAACTATCGTTGAACTTTCAAATGGTCTTTAAAGTATCAATTTACCTAATTTATCTATTTTGACCCTCAAATTATGTTAATAGTTTCAATATGTTCAAATATTTAACAGACTAATGATGTACCTGTGTTTTTAAAAAAAATTCTTCGTGAGTTTTTATCAGTTTATCTCCTTTTTCCCTAAAAAAAATCTAACCACTTTCTTCCAAATTATTTTAATCTTTAACCCTTTTATGAGTTAAAAAATTGTTTTTCAAATTGCAAAGAATAAAATAATTGCAAATAATAATAATAATAATAATAATAATAATAATAATAATAATAAAGAACACTAACAGGTCATTAATCTGTTGAATATCTGACTATAGTTTCACAAAATAATTACATTGAACACATACACATAATTTAAGGGGAAAACATGCAAAATGGGCAAATCCATAGTTCAACAATACTTTAAGGTGGAAATGATTATTTTTTCTAATTACTAAACTAATTATTCAACCATACGTGAGTGGTATAGATTAACCCATTTTATGCAGAGCATGATGATCTGATTTAAATCTATTGAAAGCTTGCACCTTGAATAAGTATCATGTTGATATCTTATTCGAGCTACATATCCATCATAAAGAATTCAAAAACTTTTTTTTATAATTTACTAATAGAATTTACATCATAAAATATCTTTCACAAGTGGTAATCACATTGTGAGTCCATAAACAATTATTATTGTCTCCGTTAGGACATATTTGGTAATTTAAAAGTAAATGAAAAGTTGAAAGTAAAGAGGAAGTATCTTTTAAAGAAAGTACTTTCTTTTCACTTTCTATTTGAAAATTTTGTTTAGAATGTGGAAAATAAAAATGTGAAAAGCTGACGTGGAGGCTGACGAGGCCTAACATTCTTTGCATGAATTGTTTATTTTCTATTAAAAATAGTCTTGCAAAATAGGATTTTTTTAATTATGATACTAATAATGTTGTATCTTATGATACATAATAATGTTGTATCTAGATAAAGTTTTGACCCGCACGATACATATTATCTTAATTTGTTAAGGTATTTAAATTCTTATCCTATAAGGGGTTGTAGTGGATTGTGATAAGATCTCATCTAGATAGTTTTCTTGATGGATGAAAATTGGTTTTCCAAGAAGTCTTATATTTTAAGAATATTAGTTATAACAGAAGGGTCCTAGCCAATATAGTTATAGTTCCCCGTCATATTTAGGTTATTCGGTAAGACATAGGATAGAAAATCCTTCTATATTTATTTTTTTATTCTAACAGTGATCTAATTTTATATTCGGTAAGGCGTAGGATAGAAAATCCTTCTATATTTATTTTTTTATTCTAACAGTGATCAGTTTGCATCCCACTTTCAAGCCCTTTTGAAGAGAGTGAAACATGTCAAAAAGATGATGTAACAACCCTTCACTTTCAATTTACTTTCCAAGCACCAAAAAAGAAGGAAAAAGAAAAGAAAATTCTTTCAAACAATAAAATTGACTTAGATATTTTGTTTGAAAAGTAGATTAGATTCTATTATTACGCGTACCCAAATAATTTTTGATTCATTTCAAACAATAATTTTTGATTCACTTTCTATAGGCTACAAATGAGTCTACAAGCTCAAAAGGGACGCTTCTGGTAAGGTCTAACGATGTAAGGCTAGACTTGTAGCCAAAGGTTTCACTAAAAAAGAAGGGATTAATTATCAGGAAACATTCTCTCCAGTTTATACTAACGATTCATCCAGGGTTATCATGGCCCTAGCAGCTCATTTTGATTTGGGGTTACATCAAATGGATGTAAAAATAGCCTATCTGAATGGAGATCTTGAGGAAGAAGTATACATGAGGCAACCAGAAGGATTTTGTGATCAGAAAGATAATCTTTTAGTTTGCAAGCTAAAGAGATTTATATATGGACTAAAGCAAGCCTCCCGTCAGTGGCACAAAAAGTTTCACAACATTGTATCCTCATTTAGATTTTTTGAGAACATTGTTAATCAATGTATATACCTTAAGGTCAGTGGGGGTAATGTTACATTTCTGGTATTATATATAGATGATATTCTACTTGCAAGCAGTGATCTAGGTTTTCTATATGAGATAAAACAATTCCTCTCTAAAAATTTTGAAATGAAGGATCTGTGTGAATCTTTTTATGTCATTAGCATAGAAGTTCACAGAGATATGTCTAAAACAACCCTAGAACTATCTTAAAGGGCTTACATTGAAAAGGTATTAGAGAGATCCGGAATGCTAGATTGTGCGTCCATGTCAACATTTATCATCAAAGGGGATAAACTCAGTCAAAATCATTGTCCAAAAAAAGAACTAGAAAAAAGAAAGATGAAGAGCATATCTTACGCATCATCCATGGGTAGTTTGATGTATGCACAGGTCTGCACTAGACATGATATCGGATTTGTAGTATGATTATTAGGTTGATACCAGAGTAATCCTAGTATGGGGTATTACAGGGCTGCTAAAAAGAGTTATGAGATATCTGAAGGGAACCAAAGACTACATATTGACTTACAGTCATACAGATCATTTGGAGGCGGTCAGTTATTCAGATTCAAACTTTGCTAGCTGCATAGATACAATAAAATCTACTTTAGGATATGTCTTCCTTCTTGCTGGAGGTGCTATATTTTGAAGAAGTACAAAGCAAGCAATTATTGCTTCATCTACCATGGAGGCAAAGTTCATTGCGTGCTATGAAGCCACTACACAGGCATTATGGTTGACAAACTTTATCTCAGGCCTCAAAATCATTGATTCTATTGCGAGGGCTATGACGATCTATTGTGATAATTCAGCAGCTATTTTCTTCTTCAAAAATAACAAGAGTGGCAGCTGAAGCAAGCACATCGACATAAAGTATCTTAATGTTAGAGAGAATGAGAAGAAAAGTGTTCTATCCATTCAACATATTAATACCGAGCTTATGACTGCAGATCCTGTGACTAAGGGATTGCCAACAAAATAGTTCCTAGGTTCATATGGGATTGATTTAGCTCGTCGTGTATTTGTTTTTCTCTCTAGTTGTTTTTAGACATGTTTTGAATATTCTTAGAGAATAAAGTTTGATTTTATTGTGCACAAATAAAGTTTTCATATTTAAATTATATCCATTGAGATATGTAAAGTAGGACCCGAGTGACTTGTAGGAAGTCATTCATAAGGTTTGCTCATAAAGTTGCTTACTTAGTGAATTTATGCATCATGATACATGGAAGGAAGAGCTCGTTATTACTAAGGGCTTGACCGCTATGGTTCGTGCATTAGATTCTTTATTTGAGTGGGAGCTATCCACTACTAAATGGTGTGAATTTTAATTATGATCATACTTCTATGTTAATTATGAGATATTTGTATCATGCGGACTAAGTGGGAGAATGTTGTATCTAGATAAAGTTTTGGCCCACATGATATAAATTATCTTAATTTGTTATGATATTTAAATTATTACCCTATAAGGAGTTGTAGTAGATTGTGATAAGATCTTAGATAATTTCCTTGATAAATGTAAACTGTTTTTAAGAAGTCTTATATTTTAAGAATTCCAGTTATAACAAGAGTCCTAGCCAATATAGTCATAGTTCCCCCATCAGATTTAGGCTATTCGGTAAGACATAGGCGAGAAAGTCCTTCTGTATTTATTTTCTTTATTCTAACAATGATCTAATTTTAATATTTTTTTTCTGTATATGTTCAGATTATCTCTTGTTTTCATCTAATTTTTTGAGTTACAGGTCGTTCTAAACAACTGTTATGGTGTTCTCATTCGCCCGAGTGCAACTCAGTATCAAGCAACGGATAAGTGTACTTCTGCATGCTATGCCCCAATCAACTTGGCGGCCAGAGACTTGTAGGGACGACAACTCAGCCGACCTGTCGAGTCGACACTCCCTCATGTCGACTCGAAATTCTGTACTTGTCGCCCCCCTTTGTCGAAAACGACTCACAGAGTCTACTCAACCACTTGCCAGACGCCTCATGAAGCCGACTCGAAAGGCGTTACTTCTCGGTGAAGTTAAAGAACAACTTCTGCCTTGAGCCTATCCTCACATGCAACGTGTCAACATCGCATTTAATACATGTCAGACAAATCATGCCCCTAGCCCCGATAGCCATCATGACTCATCGGACCACGTGGGTACTGCCATACCGCCCATCACTTCTCGTTTAATGCCGAAACGATTCATCCCCCACTTGCCAGCAGACACCTATAAAGCAAGTGTTGACGCAGCCGCCAGCCCACACTTCACCACCGTCTCTCAGTGCTCGGCCAAAGTGACCGATCTACCCTTATACCCTAGATATAAATACATGTACTATTCTCCCTTTGGGAGGACTTCTTTTTCAAACATTTTTCACAAATCTGATCCCTAAGCAGACATACTGCACACACAAGAACCCACACAGTTCTTATTTCACCCCACTCAAGTTCATCATCTAACTTGATCGTCGGAGGTACAACGGGGGAACCAAACCCCATCCTCTTAGGAATCTCTACTTGTGCAGATTTTTCAGATTCCCAACTCTAGAACCAGACATAAAGTCAGGGAAGAAAGTGACCCCTCATCGATTCCCAACAGACTCATCCAAATACGGATACATATTGACTATGTGATCACTAATACATCAACAACAACAATAGTTGGAAGTATCTTTTAATTTAATTTATTTTTAGTGTTTGATCTCTATTTATTTAGATTACAATATCTAACATGTAAAACATGGAAGGTATATTGTTGCATGTTACTTATTATGTTGCAAGTGGAAAATATCAAATGTCATATTCATTCCATCTGACCCAGTGATGCCATCTGACCCAGTGATGCTACCTATAAGAATATAGCGGGTGTTTTTTTATATTTTTTTTATTCAATGATGTAGTTTTTCAATAAATAGCATTTAACATATTTCAATAAATAATATTTTAGTTACATGATCTTGACTGTTTATTGCTAATCAAGAGGTGGAGCTATCAGGTTTTCTTCATTTTACACGTGGAAGCATATTTAGGCACTATCAAGGTATCCATTTAATTGTCAATTTTAAAAAAAAATTATTTGAAGCATAGTGAAAATATTAGAAATGAAATTAAGGAATAAATAGTTAGAAGTTGTCTGGGTTAAGACTCTTGTATACAGAAAAATAAGTAGCATGGACTAAATTTTAAAGTAGAAAGAGAACATAATATTCTAAAATGAAAAGATGTAAAATATAAATAATAATCATTTTGTCACTTCTCTGTCATCACTTAGCATCCACTTCCAAGCTTTCCTAGAGAGAGTGAAACATGTTAAAAAGCTGACATAACAATCCTTCACTTTCAATTAACTTTCCAAGCATCAAAAAAGGAAAAAAAAAGAAAATAAAAGTAGAACCACTTTCTAGTTCTTGATTCACTTTCCATTTACTTCTTGGTTACCAAACACGTTCTTAGCGTCACCTTTCACATTGGTCTCGAATAGATATTTCGTAAGTGCAAATTCTACAAATTGTTAGGGAGTTAGTTGACGAACTTCAGCCATTTTGTTTATGGTCCAACCCACATTATTCCTATAAGAATGGCTCTATCTAATAGAGTTCATATTTCCAGAGTAAGGGGTTAGTTTGTAAATTTTATCTATTGTATTTATAATTAAGACCTGCCACACTCTCTAAAAGAGTGGTAACAAAAAGATCTCTAATCCTTTTTTCACTAGTGAGGTCTAGATGTACAATGAGATCAATTAGGTGGGTTAGTCACGTAGAATTTAAACTTAGAAATGAGATAATATGTGAGATAAATTTTTAATGTGTTAGTCACATAGAACTAAAACCAGAACAAAATTTTACAGTGTTAGTCAAGTAGAACTCTAACAAAACTAGAATTGAGATAATGGTGTAAAATTATCCCTTTTTTTTTATATTTCTATACAAAAATAAGAGTTCTAGTCTATTAAATTATTCCAAATTTTAGCTTGAAACTAGGTGATAAAAAACTAAAACTCATATTTAAGCATAGAAAACTGATTTTGTATTGGAGTGTTATGATAAGGATGCGCATTCAAAAAAACAACACAAAAATTAGAACTAAACTTAGCGTGAACAAACCACCTGCTAATTCCTCGTCCCCCGAAAAAAAAGGTCTGCAACCACAACAAAATCAAGAAATTAGGAAACGTCACCGCGTCGCTCACCTCACCCCTCTCCCAATATTTGGGCCCACATGTCAACACATTCA